AACTGCACATGAAGCATGAATTTGCAAGATAGGTATGCTACTATTTCGAGAGCAAGACTGAATCATCTTAAGACTGAGTTACAGACAATTAAGAAAGGTTCTGATAGTGTTGAGAAATACATGTTGCGCATCAAGGTTATTAAGGATCAAGTTCTTGCAGCAGGAGAAATTGTATCTAACAATGATCTTATTGTTGCTGCTTTGGCTGGATTGCTAGCAGAATTTAACATGATCCGTACTTTGATTGTGGCTCGTGAAACTCCTATTTCTCTTAAAGAGTTTCGAGCTCAATTATTGGCAACAGAGAAGACTGCTGAAGATTCACAATCTACAATGAATTTTCCTATGTCAGCTATGTATTGCCAAGGTGAATCTTTAAATGTTAATTCGTCACAGAGTCAAAGATCGTCTCAACAATTTTCTGGTGGTTATGGTTTTGTCAATGGTGCTAATGCTAACTCTCAGAATAATGCTCAAAGGCCAACTGGGGGAATTGTGTCTCAGGCTTATTTGCCTCAGTTTCATCAACAAAATAATGTAAATTCTCAGAATAACAAGAGCTATCAGAATTATGGAGGTAATAATGGAAGGTTGAACAACAGGTCAAGGTATAATGGGAACAATAATGGCAGGTTTTCAGGGAATTCAAATTTCTTTGCTGGAAGCATAAGTAATAATGGAATCTCTAATTTTGGATCTAAAGGTGGTTCAACTTGGCAGAATTGGAATGGCAATATTGGTTCCAGAACAAAATTGATTCCTGAATGTTAGATTTGTAATAAACGAGGCCATACTGCTCCTAATTGTTACTCAAGGTATGATGCAAGTTCTAGTTCAGCTCCTCTAGTTATGGAATGTCAAATTTGTGGAAAGAAAGACCATACTGCTCTCAACTGCTACCACAGGGGCAATTATGCATATCAAGGTGCTCAGCCATCTCCTTCTTTGACTGCACTTACTGCACAAGCTCAGCAGAATTTCGTTTCATCACAGCCAAATTAGGTGTTAGATACAGGAGCCACCCACCATATGACTGTTGACCTTGATAATTTAACACTTGTGACACCTTTTGAAGGCAATGACATGATTACAGTAGGTAATGGAGAGGGACTTCCAGTTGCTAACACTGGTTTGGGTTCTCTTTTAACCTCTTCTAAACCTTTAACTCTTCAAATGGTTTTACATGTTCCACAGTTAGCAGCTAGCTTGTTATTAGTTTATAGACTATGCAAGGATAATCATTATTATGTTATACTTAATGAATTTGGTTTTTGGGTGCAGGACAAGGCAGCCAAGAAAATCCTAATGAGAGGAAGAAGTAGTAGTAGTGGCTTGTATTACGTTCCTCAACAACACTTCTACAAATATTCTTAGCTAACGAATAATACACCTTAAGATTTGTTGGGGCAACTTGTTAAGACATCTATCTGGCATCATAGACTTGGGCATCCCAACAATGAGGTTCAACTCAAAATGCTTAAAGACTCTCAGATTTCAGTTTCTCTAAATAAAAGTCCACAGTTGTGTTCAGCTTGTATTAGGGGTAAGATGTCTAGACAACCATTTCCTTCTAAGTGTAATAAGTCAAGTATTTCTTTAGAAAAGGTGCATACTAATGTATGGGGACCTTCACCTACTGTTTCTTTGGAAGGTTACTGATATTATGTAATTTTTGTTGATGAATACACAAGGTTTACTTGGATCTTCCCACTTGTTAATAAGTCTGATGTGTATACTGTATTTGTGAAATTTCATGCCTTTGTTTTGAATCATTTCAAGATAAATATTAAGACTTTACAATTTGACGGAGGAGGAGAGTACATGAGTAAAGTGTTTAAGACTTTCTTGGATACCAATGGTATTTTACATCTTGTTTGTTGTCCATATACCCCTCAGCAGAATGGTCTTGCAGAGAGGAAAAATAGACATATTGTTGAAACTACTGTGACATTACCAAGTGCTGCTTATTTACCTCAACAGTTCTGGTTTCATGCGTGTAGTCATGCAGTATTCTTGATAAATAGAATGCCAAGTCAGAATTTAGAAATGATATCACCCTATATGAAGTTGTTTGGACAATCACCTTTTTTAAGGTCATTAAAGGTCTTTGGTTCTACAGTTTTTCCTTATTTGAGACCTTATAATGTAAATAAGCTACAAGCATGAAGTGATGAATGTGTATTTTTGGTATATTCAGTAGGTTACAAAAGAGTATTGTGTTTTAATACCTACAAAAAGGTTATTGTTGTCTAGGTATGTCATTCATGATGAAAGTGTATTTCCTTTTAAGACATCACAGTCCATAAATGTTACTTCATCTGTGTCTACTTCATCAACACAAAGAGAGTTACCTAGAGTAGTTTTTATTGTGTTGTCAAATGGATCTGAGCAACATGGGGTGAATAATGTGATCAATGATCAAGACATGGATTTGCATTCTGTTTCTTCTCAATCTTCTAGTACAGTATCAGGTTCAGGATTGTTACCATTACAAGCTACTACTCTACATCAAACTTCTCATTCTCCAAGGTTGCCTGTCCATAACCCTGCCTAAATTCAGGTAACTTCCAACTCTGAAGACCTATCTCCAAATGTTTGCTCTACATATGATAATATGGTTGTTACATCATCTGTTTCTCTTGATGATGTGGCTGGTACATCTTCTGTTTCTCTTCATGATGTAAATGATCTTGTGCTTCATAAGGACGTAATTAATGTGCCTTCTGAGCATAGTATGATTACAAGATTAAAAAGTGGAGTTTTACAACGGAAGGATTATTCTAGCTATTGTGATTCAGTATCCATGAATCCATGTTCTTCTTCGTCATCTGGTGATGATATTGTATTTAGTGGTTTTACTGCTATATTGGATATTCATGAATCTTCAGAACCAACTCATTACAAGCAACCTGTTACTTCTGAGAATTGGAGAAATGCAATGAAGGAAGAATTTGAAGCTTTAAAAACAAGGTACTTGGGAATTAGTACCAGTTCCACAAAATAGAAATGTCATAGGCAGCAAGTGGGTGTATAAGATTAAGAAGGATCAATATGGAAAGGTGTCCAGATACAAGGCAAGGCTTGTAGCTCAGGGTTTTAGCCAAGAACATGGTTTGGACTATCAAGAAACATTTAGTCCAGTGGTCAGACACATAACAGTAAGGCTAGTTTTGTCACTTGCGGCAATGAATAAATGGGATTTAAGGCAATTAGATGTGAAGAACACCTTTCTTCATGGAGAATTACAAGAAGAAGTGTTTATGAAACAACCTCAAGGTTTCCAAGATTCTCTATATCCTACTCATGCCTGCAAGTTACTTAAGTCTCTATATGGACTTAAACAGGCTCTCAGAGCCTGGAATGCCAAGTTTACAAGCTATCTACCTACTTTGGAGTTTCAATCTTCTCATTATGATCCTAGTTTGTTTGTGAAGATCAGTGGTTCTAATGTAGTGATCTTGCTACTATATGTTGATGATATTATCATCACAGGGTCTTCTTGAGTTAATATAGCAAGTAATTGATGGTTTAGCCAGTGTATTTGATATGAAAGATATGAGGAAGTTAACTTATTTTTTGGGTTTGGAAATAACCTACAGAGACAATGGAGACATCTTCATTAAGCAGTCTAAATATGTTACTGATCTTCCAAATAAGGCTGGAATGATGCATTGCAGACCCTGTTCAACTCCGAGCAAGCCCCACACTTAATTATTGAAGGATGAAGGGAAACCAATGGCTGATTCAACAGTTTACAGAAGTTTGGTGGGTACATTACAATATCTGACCTTCACTAGGCCTGATATTGCCTATGCGGTCAATTATGCATGCCAATTTATGACAACTCCAACTGAAGAACATTTTTGTTTGATTAAAAGAATTCTTCGATATCTTAAAGGTACGTTGCAGTGTGGATTGACATATTTTGCTCAGGGACAAATGGAATTACTTACTTATAGTGATGCAGACTGGGCTGCTAATATAAACACCAGAAGGTCTACCACATGATACATTGTATTTATCGGTTCAAATTATGTATCATGGCAGTCCAAGAAACAAGGAAGTGTGTCTCGCAACTCTACTGAGGCAGAGTATAAAGCATTAGCTAATGCTGCTGCAGATGTAGCTTGGATTAGATTAGTTCTCAAAGACCTTCATGTTTTTCTTCCATCTGCACCGTTGTTACATTGTGATAATCTTTCAACGTTAGCCTTGTGTTCTAATCCAGTTTTTCATACTCGGATTAAACACTTGGATACTGATTTTCATTTTGTTCATGAAAGAGTTCAAAAGGGAGATCTAGATGTTCAATATATTCCTACAAAAGCTCAGGTTGCAGATGTCTTGACCAAAGGTTTACACAGTCCTTTGTTTGTTCATCATTGTACCAATCTCAGACTGGGATATCCCAGTTGCGATTGAGGGGGAGTATTAACTAAGGATATATGTGCACGGGTATTTTAGTCATATTGTGTATAAGTTAGCTAGGCAGTGAGGTATTTAGCTTTCTTGGTTATTAAGTTTTGACAGCTGTAAGTTTGTTTTTATCTTCTATAAATAGGTATATACATCACTGTAAAGGTAAGCAATTACTCGTTCAGTTAATACAACAACCTCTTTTTCAAGATATACTTTTTTCTCTCTACTCTGATATTCATTGTTCTTCGTTCTCATATTTTCTTGCTTTTCAATGGAGATTTTATGGCTTAATCTGCCATGATTATTATTTAGCCATTTAGAAGAAAAATCTATTATGAAAACTTTGGGACACATATTGTACTTAATGCTTATCGAGTGGCATGTTTTCAGTGGATGGTAGTGCCCCTTGTCTAGTGGCAAGTGAAGCCTTACACAAGTTTTTCTAACAGAATCTGCTGTAACGTGTAATCTAAGTTGAGATTAGTTATTTTAATTAATATTAATTGCATTTATTTGATTGTTTTTTTTTTTAACGATTTATAATCTTTGTAGGTTATTAATTCTTTCAGGGAAATGTTGCTAGTTGAGTTGGAAAAAAATGGAAGAATGAATACTATATCGCACATTATGACAACTTATAGCTGGGTAAGTTTAACTATTATTTCTAGTTTTTTTCATATGAACCAAAAGTGCAACCTTAACTGTTATATACTTTACAGAAATCTAGTCTTAAGTATGCATATGGTTTTTCATAATGCAACTTTCGTTCCAGGTTTGACACACAATTTATCTGTTTTATGATTCAGGAATATCTGCGAAGAGATGATGGCAAGACCGTTGGTCAATTTCTGTTTGGCCCTCTATTGGATGTTTTATGGAGGGCGGACTGTCTGAGACATGATGATCAATTCCGCGTTTTGTCTTCTCTTCCCCTTCCATTGTATTAAGTATGCATGTAGTTTTTGATAATGCAATTAGTTTATAAATTTAACCGATCCAAAAGAAACAGTTTAATTGAAGATTGAATCAATAGTTTGCTTGTGCTTGAACGACGGCATTATGCGGTTTTGATTTTTACAAACCACAAATTAACTGAACCAAATCGATTATAATAAAATATTATTTAAGGATTAGAAGTCGAAGACACACATTTTTACATACATTCCCATTTCGTAATGTATTTCAATGATCCGAATTGTCTATATTGAGTATATTATTCATAGATCATCCTTACAAAAATTAGACAAATCAAAACCACTAAGACATTGACACACCCCGACCGAGATCAAGGCATGCTGGCCGTCACGTGAGAGTGACGTAACCATGTGCACAGTGCGGAAGCAATAAAGATAGGAATTATACGAATAATTAAAAACGAAATACTAAAGTGCACTACTAAACAGGAAGTGATAGGAGTTAGATACAACAATAAACACTCCTAATCAGAGTATAATAAGTCTAGGTGCCGTCCAGTAAGACAAGTACTAGTTACACAGTATCAAGAATGTCCTACTATTATTTAGATAGGTCAGAACTGCCGACGTCCTCTAGCCACCAACAACAAGCTTACTTAGAACCTGGAGGGCCGCAAAACAGAAAACGTGAGTGGGCAAAAACAAATGTTTTACAAAACCATTTCATTTATCAACATATCTAACCCCTCACTGTAAAACATGTATAATTTTTCCCAGAATCAGAATATAAATATATACATAAATAAATATGTAAATATATCAATATTGATCATATTTCACGTAATCATATTCATATGCATGTTGTGTCAAGATATAACAAAGTAGCAATTCAGGTAAGAATATATTCATAGAAATGTGATATGTTAGCCGGAACCCCTGTGGTAGTCTGTATGGCTGAAATCGTAACTCAAAAGTCAATCTCGCCAGAGTCACTACAATGACCTATATGGTAATATACTACACATAAGTCGGAACCACTAAAAAGGGGTATGTACGACAAGATTGGATGTAATATAATTATGCTTAATTCTACTCTCTCATAATAGCCGGGCGATAAATCGCTAGTCACCTACAAGTCGAAACCATAAATAAGGTCTGTATGACAAGATTGTGCACTTAAATTGGATCTAATATGAGCATATAGTGCGGGGGTGACATAATAAACATGCATGTACTTCATATCTCTGGCTAAATCACAATCACCCTAAGTGCAGTTTTATGAGCTCAACTTTATTCAATCACATATCACGTCATCGTCAAACATAACTTGCATGCGCTTACCTGAGCCTCCACAACACCACATTTATACATATAAAGTATCACACACCAATTCATACACGACACATAATTGTATATGCATGGCAATTATGGCATATCAACATTTAAACATATTTTTCTGGGAAAATATCAAGTATATAAATATATACTGAAAACCAAAAGCCCACTCACTGGTATGTAGAAGGGTCGTAGCCCCCGAGTCGCCCGTGGATACGCTCGTCATCGGGATAAGCCTCACCTATATGCGAATTAACTATAAAAAACGTTATTTTAAAGCACATTGGTAAAATTAGCTAATAACTTCTCAGACAATGCTCAATTTGGGTATATGAATATATCAACGTGATCTACACAACTCCACGAACATCCCCATATTTTTAGAATATTTTTCCGAGCTCCCAAACGCCGCCACGCGCCGACAAGGGCACGGTAAAACACGCCGGCCACGCGTGGCCACATGCCTGGAACGTGCAACGGAACAAAAACGACGTTAGGAATATTCCATTAAAACCCAACGGTAACCGTCCAAACTAACTGACGGAATATTCCTCTGTCTTCTCCGGCGAGTTGCCGGTCGCCGGTGACTTCACCAATTTCTGGAAAAATACTAAAATCGTCCTAACTTCTTCATTTTTGCACCATTTTTCATGAGATTTATACCAAAATGAAACTCTTAACTTGAAGAACACAATCATACTAAGTTAAAGCTCTAAAAGTCACGGGATCTCACCGGAGAATTCCAAGAAAAACCGGCCAAACTTCGTCCACACGATCCCGACGTCCAAAACCTTCAAACGAAGCACTCCGAGCTTCCTTGGGACCTCACTAAGCTTCCTACAAGCTTCAAATTTCCAAAAACATCCATAATTACATGTGCATGAACAATGCACAAATCGGTTTTCGAAGGTATCATTACCTGAAAGGGGTATCAATCGACCCATCTGAGCTTCACGAACACAATGGTGCCAACTTTGACCACGATCCGTGAAGTTTCAAGGGTTTTGGGTGACGTCCGTACAAAGAAGGGAGAGAGAGAGATGAAAGATGAGAGAGAAGGCACGGGAATGAGAGAGAGAAAAGTGTATGGATGTGTGTGGTACAAAAATGCACACCAATCAAAACTCTTCAATCTTTTAGTTCTAATTGGGTCCAATTAGTTAGGAATAGAACCAATTGACCCAATTTCTTAACCCTAAAATACAAACACACACTCGACGCTCAAAGGTAATTTCGTCCTTTCACATCTCTGAGAATAATATTTCGGGATGGGCAGTGACAATCTCCCCACCTTATAAAATTTCGTCCTCGAAATTACATACAACTACTACATCCACTAATAATCATAAAACAAGCGTGGATACATCTCTCTCATCCAATCCTCTATCTCCCAAGTAGCTTCTTCCACTGAATGATTTCTCCATAATACTTTCACCAAGCGTACGATCGTATTCCTTAATTCTTTATCCTTCCAATCCAAAAGAGTCACTTGTTCCTCATCATAAGTCAAATCCGAATTGATTTCCAAAGGTTGAGGAGGAATTACATGTAAAGGATCTGAAACATAATGTCAAAGCATCAAAACATGAAACACATCGTGTACCTTGGACAACTCTGGAGGCAACTTAAGCCTGTAAGCAACCTCACCGACTCGCTCGGTGATCATATATGGTCTGATGTACCTGGGACTCAACTTTCCTCTCTTTCCAAATCGTACAACACCTTTCCAAGGTGATAGCTTCAGAAATACCCAATCACCTTCATCATACTTCTGATCCGTGGCATGCTTGTCTGCTAAGCTCTTTTGTCGATCCTGGGCCACTTTCAGGTTAGACTTAATTACCTGAACATTTTACGTAGTCACATCCACAATCTCGGGCCCACTAAAACTCTTTCGCCAACCTCTGACCAACGTAGGGGCGTACGACAAGATTTCCCATAAAGTGCCTCAAATGGTGCCATACCAATACTCGAATGATAACTGTTATTGTAGGCAAACTCCATCAAATCCAAGCAATCATGCCAACTATCTCCAAATTGCAGCACTGAAGATCTCAATATATCCTCTAATGTCTGAATAGTCCTATCAGATTGTCCATCTGTCTGAGGGTGATATGTCGTGCTATAAAGCAATCTCGTACCAAGAGCTTCTTGAAATGTTATCCAGAACTTGGAAGTAAATCTAGAATCCCGATCCGAGATAATATTAACTGGCACCCCATGGTACTTCACAATTTGTGATATGAATAACTTAGCTAATCGGCTTAACGAATACTTTTCCCTCACTGGAAGAAAATGTGCTGACTTTGTAAGCCGATCAACCACCACCCAAATACCGTCATATCCATTATGTGTACGAGGAAGCTTGTACACAAAATCCATCGTAATATTTTCCCATTTTCACTGTGGAATGGGAAGTGGCTGCATCAATCCAAACGGCTTCTTCCTTTCAGCTTTAACCTGCTGGCAAATGGCACATCTACTCACATATTTGGCAATTTCTCTTTTCATACCTGGCCAATAATAAAATGGCATAATTGTATGATACATCTTAGTACCTCTTGATGCATCGCATATGCCGAAATATGTGCTTCATCCAAAATTTCTTTCTTTAACTCTGCATTATTCGGCACAAACATTCTGCTTTCCTGCATAAGCATGCCATCAGTTTCTCGATTCCCAAAATCTTTCTTTTTGCCTTGGTTCCTTGCTTGAATTATCTCCTAGGTCTCTTCATCATTCATCTGAACTTCAAGCACACGATCAATTAAAATTGTCCTAACTTGAAAATTAGCAAGTAGGGCTTCTTCTCAATCTTCCACTTTTAACTCCACTCCAGTGGACCTCAAATCTGCTAGAAGAGGAACATGACAATCATAGATGGCATTAAGTCTGGCTGAAGTCTTCCTACTAAGTGCATCCGCCACTGCATTTGCACGACCAGGATGATATTCAATCGTGCAATCATAATCACTAAGCAACTTAATCCATCTCGGCTGCCGAAGATTAAGATCTCTCTGAGTAAACAAATACTGAAGACTCTTATAATCTGTGAAGATCTTGCATTTCTCACCATAAAGATAATGTCTCCAAATCTTCAAAGCAAAGATGATAGCTGCTAACTCCAAATCATGCGTAGGGTAATTCTTCTCATGAGGTTTCAATTGTCTCGAAACATAAGCAATCACCCTACCATGTTGCATCAATACACAATCCAAATCATTAAGAGAAGCATAACTATAAACCCCATAATTACCGCTATCATCTGGAAGTGCTAGAACAGGTGCATGAGTGAGATAGTACTTCAACTGCTGAAAACTTTGCTCACAATTATTATTCCACTCAAACTTAACATCCTTTCGAGTCAACCTCGTCAGTGGCAAAGCAATCACTAAAAAATCCTTAACGAACCGTCGATAATAGCTTGCTAGGCCAAGAAAACTCCGTACCTCGGTGACGGTTCGAGGTTGCTCCTAATTCTCCACAACTGCCACTTTCTGAGAATCCACTTGAATGCCTTGAGCAGAAATGACATGTCCCAAAAATGCCACTTGATTCAACCAAAATTCACAATTGCTAAACTTGGCATATAGTTAGTGTTCCCTCAAACTGCTCAACACCAACTTCAAATGTCTAGCATGCTCAGCCTTAGACTTAGAGTATACCAGAATATCGTCAATGAAGACAATAACAAACCTATCCAAAAATGGCTGGAATACTCGATTCATCAAATTCATAAAAGTTGTTGGTGCATTAGTTAACCCGAATGGCATCACAAGAAACTCATAATGACCATATGG